CTTTCATGTGGACATATATACGATACATATATATAATATATATATATATGTATTCGGCCATAAGCAACACATGAACTTGTATATTGAGCTATGAACACTGTATGTAAGCATACATGTATATGAGTTTGTTTGGAATGGCAGAATGTAGACAAGTAGAACTATATTTGATGTCCATTATTCCATGCCTACAGTCCCCTTTGATATTTGCAATCATCGTTCAGAACATCTACTCAAACTCATTTCAAACAGGCCTTTCATACTATAACATGCTTTCCATGTTATAGATGGGTCTGTTTATCTGATTTCTATGTAGGCTCCCTAGACATGTTTTCGTGGAACACAACAGAACAAACTGCCAAGCAAGATCACATGACTCATAGGTGGCACCATACCAAGCTCCTCCGAGCCAGCCTGCAAATCCTTGCTGGGAGTCGAGTCAACACTCCACGGCCCGAAGATCGGATCATCCAGCCCAATTTGCTTCACCTGCCTTGTCCCCACAGCACTGGTATCCTCGATCTTCGGCTCGATCTCCTCCTGTGCTGCTGCTGGCATGATTGGCGCTGGCATCATGTTCCCCTCCACTGCTTCTGGCATGATTGGCGCTGGCATCATCCTCTCCTCCACTGCTTCTGCTGGCATGATGGGCGCTGGCATCATGCTCTCCTCCGGTGCTGCTGTTGGCACGTTCGGCACTGCCATGATTGGGCAATGGAAGCCGCTCAGCGGCTTCCACTCCCCAACCTCCGGATCAAAGTGCACACCCTCGGCCACGAGGCCACACAAGGTCATGGCAGCATTTTCCCCATACAAGCCCTTCAAGCGGTCAAACCTTTGCTGCATGCTCTCCTGAGCTTCCTCTAGCTCCCCTGGCCGAAACTCCAAGGTCTTTGGGCTGGGGAGCACAAAGTCCTGCTCATCTGGAACAACCTGTGACGCATTGCATGGTCCAGGCGATGCATCACGCTGCGCCTCGCAAGCTTCGGTTGCAGCCACAAGCGTATGCACTGCCAACTCGTCCGTCAAAGCATCCAACCTCTCGGACTGCTGGGATCCTGAGAGTCATCCTGACTCTTCTTCTTGTAGCTCTTGCAATCGAAGACAGGGCGACTCCGGCACGGCACATCCAGATCATCTGGGCCCTTGCCTTTCACCTGCTTCACCACCCAGGGAATCTCCACACGTTCCATCTGCGCTGCAGTGTCCCGCAACCGGTCCTCACCCAGATTCCATGCACGACTGCACAGCCTTATTTAAAGTCTTATCATGCAGGATTTGACCGAGACACCGTGAGTTTCTGCACGTCCACATCCCGCTGGTGTTCCGATCGATCTGCCAATCCTTATAATCCCCAACTCTCATGTTCTAGCCATAGCAGCTGTGCCCATGTGTATATGCACATGTGCATCTCTCTCTCTCTCTCTCTCTCTCTCTCTGTACTCTCTGTCCCCCTCTCTCTTCTCGCTCTCTCTCAAGACATATGTACATGTATGTTTGTATGTATATGCATATAAACATACATTTCGGTTGGTGCACATGCATACAGCAGCTACTTCCACAATATTCTAAATGCACACATGCCGAATATAGATATATGTAGAGCATGGCTATGGAAAGACATATTTCCAGAAACAAAGGGGCTGGCAACATTTATATGTTGTCCAGTACATGCTGAGAGACATTGGTGTCCTATAGCACACACTGCATACACAAAATCCTTGTACCTGTGTATGTTAGAGCACATAAACACCAATATAGCTATACTAAGAAACACATTAACAATTTCTATATGTAATTCTATGCAACTTTTAACTTCTTGTAGATAAAAGCACGGGAATGTCTGTCTATCTTTTTCTATAGGCATGTCCCTATGTAAAGTTGAGATGTTATGCGTATTTTGAAGTTATATAAAGATTATATATACATTGTATATGCATATAATTGTAAAACTATTACTACTATAATTGATATAGAGTTGTATACGTATATATATATATATGTATATATATATGGATATACATGTATATAGATATGCCTGTCATGCAAGTTTAGTACATATCATGTTCAATTCATGTATAGGTGGACTCGTACAAAGCGACATGTGTGACAAGCATCGGCGATGGCAGCAAACCATAGCCTTGATGGCATGCGCATCGGGGTTCAGCTTGGATGCATCGATGCGGACCTGCAGAACTGCGACAGCTGCACAAACCATATTCTAGAAGCAAGCATACCACGACATTAACTCAAAATGCACAGAAACCACCACACCTGATCCTTCTGCACATTCAGGTGCTTCATCTGCATGGCACAAAGGATAATCAGCAAGGGTACATTTGAATGAACACAAAAGCCAACCCCACCTTCACCTGGACCCGGAATTGCGCAAGAGCATTCTCCAGGATGTTGACATACATGATGGCATAATGCTGCAAGCTTCGCCCAACCACAGGAGCAAGAACCGCCTTTGCTAAGCAAGGGTAACCACAGCATCACACAAATGCAAAAGAAAGCTGTGTCAAAACCCTTCATCACATTTCAAATGGCTGAAGCACCACATTCAGCTTGATGCCCAGCGCAGTCGGAATCCGCTTCTGCCTTTTCTCATCTGCCGGCCAATCAATGAGCGGAGCATCATTCATGGCACGGGATTGCAGCTCAGGGCTTTCAAGCCAATCCTGATTAGCATGTGTACTCAGTCACAGACTCCAACATCACACAGAAATTGTTATCCGAGCCACCTTTACCATACCCTGCACCAGCTCATGCAGCAGCTGTGAGGCAGCAGGCTCATCCGATTCACGGAGGGGCCCCGGAGAAATCGAGTAGCTCTCCATGGCACCAAAACACACAACCCCAAAATTCCAGGAGAAAACACAAAGCTAAGCCAAAGGCTGCAAAAACCAAGAAGTGAGATACAACATCATCCACTGAAAACTCGAACAGGTCTGTCTGCACCAGACTGCTATAGAAGGATGCACAGCCGTTGGGGCCCAGGCGTCCAAAACGAGGCCAGGGCACTCAGCCATCAAAGATGTCATGCTCTCTATGAGGTAGCTAGCTTGATGAATGCTTATAGATGTATGGTGGATACATGTCATCTGAAATTTGAAGCATAGACTGTGAAATCAGAGCTCCCGTGCTTTCCTGTTCGATCGTGCAACTGTGAAGTGCTACACCTTGACCCCTAACCAGGTGACATCGAAAGAATCAAAAGCATCAGCCATGCAAGCTGCAGATCACCAATGCCATGCAAGCTGCAGCTCAGCAACATGGACTTGCACTGCCTGCCCATCTCGACAAAACTCACATCTATAGTCTGTGTATGTCATGTTTGGAAACTGTATTTCGGTTATATAACCCTTTCATGCTATATATAAGATGTATAATTACAGATATGTAGTTTTAATGGACATGTGGGTGTATATGTATAGACCTCCTGCACCCAGATGTATATCTTCATATGCACAGACATGAAGAATGGTAAGATGTCTCGTTTGCCATGCAAAATCATGCAAAATCCGAGTAACCACCTGTTTTACCTAAACGTAAGACCGCCAAACATACTGTTGGAAAAAAAACTGGTTTTCTGATTTTCCGGGGTTTTCCGGGAAACCAAAAAAAGACATGAAACCAGAAACAACACACCAAAATTGGTAAACCAGAAAAAGGAACTACAAACCCATGTTCAGGTACCAACCACCGCAACCGCTTCCCTGCAGCCCAAAGGTCCAGTGACACCCGCTTTTGGGGTCCAATTTGGACCCCGCCCCGAGCCCCCCTCCCACACATCTCCCACCCGCCTGCGCTGCTGGTACTGCTGCTAACCAGTGTAAAACTTGTTGGCCCGCGTGGGCAATCTCAAACACTCCGCCGAGACCAGAGGCCTCAGGCGTCTGGGGTTAACTCAGTGCCCTCTTCCTTATCCCCTCCCTGCAATCCCGACAGTTTAGTGACTTTAGTGACACCCGATTTTGGCCCACAATTTCGAGCCCCCCTGGACCCCACCTCCCACACATCTCCCTCCCCCTTCCCCACCCTCCAACTCCCCTTTCTGGATCTCTCTGGTCCTTTTCCGACTAATTTTCTTCCTTGTCCGGTACCTCCTCAGCGGCACGGAGCATAACCGGGTTCTGTCACAGTGCTGCTCTCCGGCAAGCCGCGAGGAGGGAAATTAACATTGACGGCTGGCTTTGTCCAGGCATGGTATGACGCCTGTCCGATTCATAGGCCTGGCTGCGGGATCTTTGGCGCGAGTGGGAATGCGTGCGAATTGTTAGGCAAGGTCCCCTCCGACCGCCTTCAACCTTAAGCCTTTAAGCCTGTCCCTATATTAGGCAGCTTTGGGCTCGGGCTTATCTCCTGCAGCTCCTGGCCGGCAGACATGCGCGCCTGACATTCAGCAATTTGTCTTTCTCAGTTCTGGTGACTAGTACTTCTGCATCGGAATTGAATTTGAATGAATAGGGCCTATGGATAGCCTATGGACATTGAGAAATGCCAGTCGGATTGCACTGATTGCATGCTTCTGCTCAAAGCTCGGCAGACAGACCCGCTTGGCCACACGGCGTTGGACCTGCTCCTCCAGGCAGCGCCCTGCGATTTGCACGCTTAGTCGCATGCTGTGGCCGGGGAAATATACTGTAGGCGGCGAACTCATCTCCGCACCGAAGGCTTCGGCCGTCTCTTTTCCAAGGAGCACCTCATCATGGCACCACGCGACCATCCAGCACCGAGCATGGGGCCCACCCTGATCCACCAAGAGGTTCAGGCACGAGAACTTTGTTGCACACGGCACGGATTCGTCTCACGCGGTCTCACACACTACTGCATTGTCACGATGTACTTGACAGCACTGGCCGGAGGACTTTCCTGTGCTCGCTGGAATGCGAGCTCTCACGGGTGCCACAAGAGCGGGTCCAGGGACCATGCAGAATCCGGAGCGGAAGTGCATGCGCATGCTGGCGCCCTGCAGTGGGAACCTGGTCTCCGTCTCCAGATCACGCAGAACCCGATGGGCCGTAGAGGCTCAGGAGCACGATGCCCACAGCCAGGGTCACAGCCTCTTCACTATGATTTGTTCCGCAGGGCTCAGCACACTTCCTGTAAAACCTTCTGAGCTCAGAGCTCCTGACCAGAAAACGGCAACTGCGGAACCCACAATCTCCTGCGGGATGCATGGACATGAACCAACTGCGACTCCAGAGCTGCACAAGCTTCACCACGGCGGCATTCCGTTCTCAGACGATCTCCAGAACCACAGTAGCCAAGAAATCCTCGAGGCCCTGTTTCCCTGCAGCCTTGTGATCTCAAAACTTGTGCTCCTGTCGTGCCCTCGGGCTCGAAAGGATGTTGGGGAGCGCTTGTCCGGAGATGCTCCGGCCGGGTTTGATCTTTCTCGTCCAAGCTTCGTGAACAAAGGCATAACAAGCACTCGTATCTATTCAACTGGCCTTGAAGGCGTAGATGCCCCACAGCCCGCCAAAAAATAGAGCACACTGTAGGATGGGGTAGGCCACGCCGTACCTGCGGAAGTCGCGAATGTTCTGACCTTGTCTCAAAGCTGCAGTGATATCCGATCGTGGAGCGATGGGGCACGGCAAGGAGAATGGTGGGCTTTGCGCAATCACTGAGCCTTGAGGCAAGAGACAAAAACGAGTCTGAGGCGAGGCCTCTGTCGCCAGAAAAACGGGACCCCGACAGACGTTGCCAGCGTTCCAGATTAATCCGCTGGCTAAGCCTCGCAAGAATTGCGTAAGGCAGAGGCTCAGAGGGTCCTTTCGTGACTTTCGTGTCGTTCAAGGGGAACCTGCCAGAACTTGATCCGTGGCAACCGTCGGCCAGTCTTTCTCCTGCTTACAACGTCTGTGCACACAAGTAGACATGGAGATCTTTGGAGGACTCTGCATCTCCTGCTTGATGCCCTTCCTCAGCTGCCAACTCAACAGGCTGAGGCCAAGCCCCTCGACGGCACCTCACATCTGGCGAGTGGCCAGTATGCCAAGGTCACCAGCACGCCCGCCACCAGTGCGCCTCACCAAGCAGGTCCTATCTGGTGGAGGGCAGCGGGTGTGTGGCATCTCAAGTCAGCACCGGAGAGGGTACATGCTGTACTTGGATATATCTCAACACAATTTGCGGACTCAACTGACAGACAGGAAAGCTTCGGTGAGACCATCACATTTCGCCCAGCGAAACTTCTAAACAGAGCCGAACAGCCTCAAAGAGTTGAGCAGGCGTGAAAAGACATAGTGGACAAGCACAGAGCGAAGATACAGTCCTGCGGGGCCTTTGTCTTGATGTTTTTGTCGTGTTTGGAGTTCCGTTGGGAAGGCAAGCGAGCCCACAGAGGGCGGCCCTCGGTGTTACTTGTGGCGCAGAAAAGGCCCATGCATGCCATGTATGCCCTTGTACTTCACGTCGCATGTTACTCGCTACCAGGTGCAGTCTAAATAAAGCCCTTGTGCCTTACACTTCTGCGATCTGTATCTGCCAGCCAGCGCTTTGCTGGAAGCATCTCGGTTTCGCAACATGCATTCTCTCTTGCTCACTTGCGCATTTGTCCCACGGGCCTATTCCGAAGGAAGGTATGGCTGTCAGGCCAGCTGACTCCGGCGGGATGAACTTGAAGGGGACGAGCCTGGCTAAAGCTGGATAGAGCCCTCGCCCGAAACACTTCTGAGGCGCTCGAAGGCTTTCCAGCCAGAACTTCGACTGCCTGGAGTGTTCCGACTTTCTTCCAGGGTAAAAGAAAATCGCAAGGATTCAACGACTCGCAATTCACCGGGGCGATTGAGGTAGTAAGGTAGTATATCGACCTCCACGACGCTTGCGGAGGCAACCAAGATAGGGCCCGCGCACCGAGCCCCCAAAGACACCAACCTTGGCACCAGAATTCAGCTCCCTGCTGCTAACTGTATGTGATTGTGGGACCTGTGTAGTAACTAACGCCTGCTGTCTTGGACTCCACATCGAAGCCGGGCGAAGTAGTTTCAGGATCATGCCGGCTGAGATCCAAACGGCCAGCGCTGAACCAATTCCGGCGGCACGCTCGCTACCGGACCCTGGTCACGGGCGTATCAGGAGAGAACATGTGTGAAAGGGGTGAAAATAGAACTGACCGAGGCTTGTGTCGACTTCGACTTTCGCACAAAGCAGAATTACAAGGAGTGGGGGCAGGCCTTCCGAAGTATCACCTGGCAGCAGCGGACGGTCTTCATCTGCAACCGAGCATTGGAGAACAAGTTGACCCACGTCTTGCTGCAAACGGCAGATCTTCCCTGGAGCGGCTTTGCTCGTGTCGTCTCTTCGTCGCGTCGATTTGTGGTGTGGCGCCGAGCCACTTCACGGGCCCGCTGCCACTTCGGCCAGGTGCGTTCTCAAAATTATCGCAGCGCGTGAGGTGCCTCACGGCCACAACGCTTCAACATCACCTGAACGACCTACGCATGAATTGTGACCAGACCAGACCATCGCTGGGTTTCCAAATTCTTTGGACTTCGTGCCAGCACGACGGCCACAAAAAAACGATAACACATCGGGGTCATGCAAGTGCTGTACAGTTGCGCCGATCGGAATGCGCTATACAGGTGTCTGGCATTCACGGCTTCAGTCGTGTGGAGCGCAGGCTTTTGGCAGGATCCATATACAGCTAGTAATTCATTATTTTCGCCCCGCTGCAGCTTAGCCATGTCAGCTTGCCGACTCACAATCCTGCCAACATGAGCTCCATGCTGGCGGCAAGTGACCAATCGATTTGCTGAGCACTTGTGGCTCATCGGACCATCTGCACGGGTATTATCTCTAAGCCCTAGAAGCCTGCAGATGCAGACAAGAAGAAACCGAGGATTTGGAGAGCGATCTTTGCGACAAAATGGAAGAGGCTGGGGCCTCCCAGCAAAGCTCTCGGAAAAGTTCGATAGAAGAGAACAGGCGTTCACTTTCTTTGCACTTCCGCGACGCCAGAAAGCCAATGCCTCCGTGACACAACCGCTTGCAGGTCTCGACGCTTCCTGCCACCCGGACCCGGAATAAGGAGCTTCAGGCGAGCCACGATTCAAGGGACAGTCTCAGTTTCGTTCGGGCAGGGAATGTTCGCCTGTGCTGAGAGCTGCCGCGAACTCAAGGCTCAAGAAGCTGCACATATTTGCAAGGCTGGGAAGCGTAGGGGCCACTGCCGCAGAATCGACATTGGCGATTCACTCCATCAGCCCAACATCCCGTGCGGCCCCATTTGCACGTCTCATCCCAAAAATGACCTCTGGTTCGGCCAATCACTGAAAACTGACTACAGCTGACGGCCTATATGCAAGCGTGCCGCTTTGGCCCTGAGGTGCTCTTACAGGAAACCAGCACTTCCTCAGAAAGTGCTCGTGCTGACTATGATGCAGTTGACAGGCCTGAACTGATGCTGCCAAGCCCTGCCAAGCTAGGACAATCAAGACACCCGTCAGGGTAGGCCGGTCGAGCTTTTTCTGGGCAGGAGATGCTCTGGAAGGGCACCTGGGCGTGACGCTTGACTCTAGGGAGCTTAGACGCATGATCCTGTCGAGAACACTGAAATTTGCAAGAAAATCGCAGCCGAGTGCAGGGTGCGAGAATCAGAAAGGCTTTTTTTGGAGGCGGTACATGCCTTTTGGAAACTGATACACGGCTTCGTCGGATTTTCGGAGGGGGGGGGGTCTTCGTGAAACCCGAGATCTTGGACGGGCAATGTCCCAGCACGAAGTGGGTACAACAAAGGGGAGATGGATCCAGAAACTGCCCCAGTCCAGACTCGTCATGGCTGCTACTTTGGCCAAGCCTTGTCACAGAAGCGACACTGGATGTGAAGGCTGTCCGCATTACATCCTGCGCAGCAGAGTACAAATGAATGGATGCGCAAACATGCTGCGAGTACTCCGAGAGTTTTTTCAAGCACGGTCCAAGCATGCCCCACTGGCAAAAGTCATCCCAGTAGTAGGGCGTCCAGGGCTCATTGGCGAAGCTGCAGACACTTGCAGGGCACTGAATGTCAGAGTAATTGCCTGGCGGACTCAGCAGCTCAGCCACGGCCCATGATGGCGTTTGACGAGCAAAGTCTCAGTCACCCCGCCTGCTCCGCAAAATCTGCATCCGATGTGTTTGCCGTCTGCCAGGCAGCCCTTCATGCCCATGAAGCAAGAAGAGTCCCAGAAGAAGGGCGTCACAGGAGGGTTATCAAATTTGCAGACCTCGGTTGGATGATGAACAGCGCGAATGAAGCTGAATGCCAAAAAAGGTGAGTAACTCTCACAGACTCACGGCACATGCTGCAATGCTGCGCAGTGACAGTCATCGCTCTCGGAACGATGGCATTTGCAGGGCAGGGAATGCCTGCGGTGTGATACTTGTGCGCATTCTTAACCGTCAGGTGCAAGGGAAGCTGGTGATCCTAAAGAGTGGCTACGCGCGTCAGCTCGGGTCACAGCACGTGCAATCAGGAGTGTCTGAAGAATCTCACCTGTGTAGGGCTCCTCTCCACAGAAGCGGCACTGCGCGTGCACGCCATCGGCCCAGCACCCAGGCTTCTTGTTGTTCAGCTTGCCTCGGGCTCCCCACCCCAGCATCCCAAGGCCAGGGCAAGCCCAGGCACCCTGAGTGCCGTTCAGCGGCATCGCTGGTCCCAGAAGAAGGGAAGTGCTGGAGGCTGGAGAAACGAGCAACGTTCTGCCGGAGTGAAGTGGTGCGGCACACCTCAAGCTCGAAAGTTGTCGACCCGAAAACGCGAAGTGTCAATCCCTGCTCGCAACTGCGAGTGCATTGCTGGCCTGGTCTCACAGGATGCCTCGGCAGGCCATAGAAGTTCACGACTTGCATCTTCAAGAGAGCATCTATGAAACATCGACGGCTCCGGGGTACAGATTAACCAGCTCGTCCGTCAGCACAAGTCTCACGAGAGCATCAAGCACCACGACCTGACCGGGCAGTGTTAGGGGCAGTTGTGTACATCTTACATCCGAGCCCGACTTTCTTCGCTGACACCACCATGTTCTCACCATGTTCTCTTCTACCGAGGACCATCGTTTGTTCAAGATGTGGAGATGGGGATCAGGCGGGAGTTTCGCTTCGTGCAGACGTGTCGTGTGTGGGTTCTGCTGTGAGAAAGTAACATCGGGATCGCAGCACATTGTGGCAACTGCATGCAGTCGGAACGCCAAGAGCTTGAGTACCTGACAGACTGGCAGGTGCTGGACCCGTTACGAACGGGTGTATTGCAATCCATTCCAATGAGATTTTGCGCAAGTTGTGGTCTGTATGATGCTGTCGCACTATCCTATGGACATTTTTTCATGCAACCACCTGACGAGTGAAGATTCTTGGGAAAGGGATTCCGGTAGTCTTCCGCGCATGTCTTGCACGTTTATCCATCTACAGATATTTCTAACGTAGTATGCCCAACCGAAGACTGAAGATTCAGGCGGGGCGAGTTTTCCCGGCAATCTTTCTTTTGCATGGGCAGATGCACACACTTCAAGAAAGATGCGCACAATTCAAGAATTGAATTTTCAGGACGTCCAGCTGCAGCTGTTGATTTACGAGTTATGGGCTGGAGCGTTTTGGTCGAGATCTTCAATCTGGGCTAGCAAGCGGAGAAAAAAGTTAATTTGCATACACCCCAGAACAATTGGTCATCTAGGCTGTATGATGACATAGCGCGCTCTTGTGAACTGACTACTCGGCGGTTTCACAAAGTAGGTAAACTTTTGGTTCGTGTGGGTATACGGTGCCTCAGGGGGTTCGAAGGGCTTCAAAAGTAAATCTGCGAACCACATCAACGTGGCTAGCGAAAGATACAGCCGAGAAGACCGAGACCTGGTTTTCAGTTCTCGGTGCCACGTAACCAGTTTAACTCGTACCGGACATCGTGAAATCAAGAGGACTTGTTGCACAATCGTCAGTTCACCCCTCCGTTTTCGACACTGGCCTCCTTGAGCATGCCCAAGCACTGCACAGGGCCGTGTTTGAGCCCCGTGATGGCTGCGGTGTCTGCAGAATAGACCGCAAAGTAAAGAGCGCTGCTTCGACATCGCCGGACGGGCCTGATGCAATGTCCCGGGCTGACTCACCAGACAGACCTGGCGCCAACTCCAGGATGTGGCGGGCTCCGTGGGTTCCATTACTGCGTCCCGGTTCCAGCCTTTGGCAATGCCGTCACAGTTGACGATTACCAAAGCCCCTCGCCAACACAAGACCGGCAGCGGTACAGACCATTGTGCCATGGATACCGCTCCTGCGACGAGAAGAGCCAAGGCGGCGAGGCTGCCTGTGATGTCTGCTACCTGACCAGTTGCCGTGAATTGCGTGGTGCTGAAATGGGAGTTACCCTCAAGAACTGAACTTGTCCACTGAGTGCTGAAGTACTGACAAGCACGGTACGATAAGTTTGGGAGTGCGGAGCGGGTCGTTGGGCTGGGCATCGCGCAGGTGCCGCCACTTCGGCTGGACCAAGTGCTCCCCACCCAAAGGACACGATGATGGCAGAACAAGACCAAACTGCCTCTAGGTCAGGGCACCGAGTCTTTGCCTCTGATACTGTTTAAGGACTCCGCCTGGGCAGTGGCCAGCCCGGCTCTGGGGATAGCCACCTTAGCTGGTACAGATGCTCCCCAAGACTCCAAAAGTACTCGGCATGGCAAGGACGATGAGTCGATGAGCGTGTGTCGCTCATCGGCGACACTTCTAAGGCTGATGCCGGTCTTTCATTCATGCTCTAACGCTTTGTGTCTCTCAGCTAAACAAAGGCGCGGAGGTGCACGCGAAAGCGAAACACACGGAAACACTCCGAGTGGTAGCAGTGATAATTGTAGTAGCAGATAGTAGCAGTAATAGCAGCCATAACACTTATAGTAATACTATGTAATACTTCTAGAAATAGTAGGTAACACTAGTACTAGTACTTATACTGGCAAAAGACGCGAAAACGCAAACAGTAACAGTACTACTACTAGTAGTCGTAACAGTAGGAATGATAGTAATACTAGTAGTAGTAATAATAAGCAATCGTTATAGTAACAGGAAGAGTGATACCAATAGTAATAACAAGTAATACCAGATAGGACTAGTACTAGTACATATGCTGGCGAAACACGCGAACAGTAATAGCAATAGTGTAGTATCGCGTTTTTTAGTTTTTCGAGTTGTTCGCGTTGTCTGTGCTTTCCGATTTTTTTGCTCGCTGCGCGCCGACTCCAGTTGTGCACGATGCTCACAAAAAATCGCTTAGATTACAGGAGCTTTGCTCCGGAACCCTGTCACGATGCCGGGTCATGGCTTGTATGGTTTGGATCCCGTCCCTGGCTCTTACACACGTGGGGGAGATGAAAGCCGCTGTGCTTCTCTTGCTCAATGCCCTCACTGCTACAAGCCCACGTCAGGTTGTCAGCAGCACCAGGAACACTCGGGCAACATGGCTTTCACCAGTCCAGCTTGCTGTCGCTGGCTGTGTCTTTGTGCGGGGGCTAATTTTTTTTCATGACATGCACCATTACCAGCCACTAAGCTCCCGGCAAAGCTGAAGAGGGACGCGAAAACGAACAGCACACCACCCAGCGCGCCCCCGGCGGTGAACACATAAGGCCTGCAATTCAGGACCAGCAACACGCCGAACTCTTCAGTATGCAACGAAACGGTTGAGCCGTGGACACATTGAAGATGAAGGGCACCTTCTCTAACAATCTTCGGCGATTCTCATCTTTCTTAGTTTTCGGGAGATTTAATCTGAACACTGGCCAACACTAGCCACTGGACTGAAAAAGGGTCGGCTTTCAGCTACGAAGCTACGACTCCGGGTCTCCGGGTCACCGAAAGAAGGATCAAGGAGTCTTTGTTGTGCGGATGTGCCCCTTTGAAGATGGCTTGGCTTGGCTTTTGGGCTTACGGCTCGGCCAGTTTGGAAAGCTTGGGAAGGGAAGGCTTCTTCTCGCGGTTGCTTCATGCAGGCAGCTCTTCAGTTTACTGGAAAGTCAGCAGAATGTACGATCGCTCGGATCTGAAGCGCGGTGAGGGCCGAACTGTGAACACACGCTCCTACATCACCATCCTTGCTTCAGAACGCTTTTGTGTTGCTTATATTTAGGGCGGAAGACTCAGGTCTGTTGAGAACGCTTTAGGGCGGACGCTGAACCCGCTTAAGGGCGGAAGACTCAGGTTTGCTTCCTGCTTCGGCACTCCACTGGCGACGGACGGCTGGAGGGGTTGGCTCACCAACCCCGGTTTCGCATCTAAGGTACGCTTTTCCGTGCTCTGCTTCGGCACTTCGCTGGGGATGGATGGCTGAGCGGTTGCTTCGCCAACAAAGCTGTCACATCTAGGGTATGCTTTTCTCGACTGGCGGCTGCGGCCGGGGGGGGGGGGGTTCAAGAAGCAAACCGAGGCCTTCATGCACTACAGCGGCATATATTCCTTATATGCGACTTGTGTTGTTTGCGGTGCTCTTCATCCTT